TGCATAGGACTGGCCCTTAAATGACCTAAATCATAAGTATTTAAATTTCAAGTTCAGTGGGATGCAGTGTCATTTAAGCATGCAGAGATTTGTGTCTTAGGGACACAAGGTTGTTAACAGGTTAGAACACACAACAATACAGCCTAGAACAATTTTTAATGGGAGGTTTCAATACAAATTACTGTAGGAGCTTAACCATCTCAGCCTCTATAAAATAAGAGGAAGAGGCCAGGACCTTCTATATCATGGGGAAGGGCAAGGCACCTTGTGCAATGAAATCACTTACAATCTTATTTGGAGGAAGAAGGGACTGGCATTGTTTCAAATTCAATTCTAATATGCTAATTTTTTGCATTTGAAAGCCAAGAATCTGCAGGGCAGAAAGGCAGGAGTCTAGAGCACTGAATCACCCTCCTAGACCTGCCCATTTGTAGCAGTGAATAAAAGCAGGTACACTAATTTTAAGGCATACCTGGATCCTAGACCTGAATGGAAAAGCATGACTTGATTCTCCTTTTTGAGTTTAGCACCATGATCATTTGATTATTACTCTCCAGCTAATTTGAAACCTAAGAACCCATTCACATGATCAGCTGAGGTGATAATTAATAATGATAGTATCACTTCATACCCTTGCTTCCATATAATAAAGTAATATCTCTCTGTGATCACAACCAAGACATCAGCTGATCCTTGCTGTTTGGCATTATGAGACTTGGAAGGAAAGGGGTCTGCCTGCTTCATGCACTGAGATCTAGCAAGATGGGGAGGTGGTATCTGGGGGAAGAGCTACATTTTAATCAGCTGACAGCCCATAAAAGAAACAGTCCAAACCACAGCTATTCCAGCTGTAAGATCAACTGTAAATTTGTTGTTGCAGATTGTTAGATTACCATATACAGATGAATGTCATGCTGCTGCAGGGGAACCCATTACGCACTCACATAAAAGTAGAGTAAACAAATTTACAATGTAAAATTGCTTTCAGTGCTAATGCAAAATACAGGGTGGACCCTAAATTTGCATATTATCCTCCTCACATGTCTGCCATTATAAATAAGGATAAGAAAGCGTAGATTCTTCAATCAACGCAGTTAAGAGCAGAGCAAACTCTACAAAAAGAATGCATTGACTTGCAGTAGGGGGAGCTCTAACTCAGGAAACACACTGTGTGTTTGCTAAAACCGTGGCCATTACCTGATGGGGTTGCATATACTCCTCCAGGTAAGTGCAGCAGAGTCTCCTGTCCCAGTCATCTGTAATATGACCGCCATACATAATCTCACCAAACAAGTATTGGAGATCTTCCCAGGGTATCTAAGAACCAATAAAGTAATTTCTAAAAAGATATACGTGAGATATTAAAGCACACCTGTGTACACCCACACGCCCCAGTGAAGCCAGAAAACAGGTCTGAGTTAGTGCACAATTAGCTGTCGCCCTCCGTGAAGTCAGAGCCAATTTTTCGAAGTGTCGCAGAACAATCAGGTTCAGTACAATTTGTCAGCCTTCTGATGCCTCCCATTGTCACAGAATGTGCTAATTGCCCTCAAGAACTATGCAACTTCCCAGAAAAACCTGAGCACTGGGTATTTGAGAATCAAGAGAGTCCGGTATTGTGTTTTTACTTAAGGCTTCATGGAAGGATGTGGTTCATAAGCAAGCTTAATGACATGCCAACCTACCTGTGAGTTTGCTTCCAGGTAATTGTACAGAACATTGACGGAAATGGTCAGGTCCCCATTGTTGAAAGCATATTTCCTGCTCCAGCCCTGGGGTCCAAATTTCCATCGCTCAGCCACACAGGCGTGGAAGTAGCAGAGTGAAAACAGAATGGTCTTAAACTCCTGTTCCCGAGAACACTGATCAAGAATGTTCTAAAGAAAATAAAACGTTTTCCCCCTTCTGAGAGAGATTGCATGTCAGAGCATAGACAATGTATTTTTGACAGCTGAAAGTAAGGACTTGAACAACTAACTGATACAAGACGGTGACAAAATACTTGCTCTTTTCGTTTATATATCATGCCTTGTCTGGCATTTTCTCTACCACACCTCTTTTGCACAGGCAGCCGCTATTTTATTCCTTCCTAAAAGCCTACTTAAATGTTAACATGGAAGCAGAACGCATACCCAAGAAAATCTCTTCGACCCTTTTATTTAAAAGTGTTCAAAAATAATTTCAGAAATATGAATTCAGCAGAGTGGATAAAATTACAACAAAATATTTAGGTCAAGTATCCTGTTCTAACATTTTGAAGAAATGCCATGTGATGGCATTTCCATCACATTAACTAGTGACGGCTTCCCACATGGCATTTTTGACTCATATGTACGCATATCTTTTAAATGCCAAAAGACTAAGAAGCAGTTCCCTGAATTGATTCTAAAAAAGGAAAGTTAAAAAGTTGAGCAACTGAAGTTCCTTTGATATGATTTTTATTCTCGGATATGATGAACCAAGATCTCTGCGGGGCATTCAAGGAAATCACATCAAGCTGGTGTTGCAGATTTATCCCAGTCATGCAGTTCTAATAATTTACAATATACAGCACAAATATTATGATCCTGCCTGCCCATTGCAGAGAATAACAGTGTGCTTAGACCCATAGCAAATCTTAGCTCAGCACCACAATTATACTTTATAACCACAGCAGGCGTATGCATGCACTGAGCCCAAGAATGATTAAATATATTTGTCTATCTCTGCTTTGCAACACTGTGTATAAACTGTTCAGATTATTTACAGAATAAGACATTAGCACATTTTGCAATCTGAGGCAGTTACTGGGGGACTACATGGCTTTAATAGGAAGTTTGGATGGCTTCTTATACATATTTATCTGGGAACAAGCTCCACTAATATTGGGGTGGTTGGGCAGGAATGTATAGGATTAGGGCAAAATCCCACAGAGATAAGTGCAAGCGCACAACTCCTTGGAGGCTCATGCAGAGCGGGAGGAGTGGAGGGGCACAATTCCATCTCCCTGCTCCTCCTGTTCTGTATTTTAGCTCGACAGCTGTTTTGGCCCAGCTGGCAAAGGAAAGACGAGTGCAGTGGCTTCCGGATGCCCCGTGCCCTCCCCTCTCCCCAAAACGTGCCCTTTCTCCTCTCCTTGAGCTCACTTTCCTGACCTCGGAAGGCAGATGGCACCGTTCGTCCTGCACTGGCTGCAAGGGCGCACGGGAGCAGGGTCAAGAGCCGATTCCCGGCTTTGGGGTCAGACTGGGGAACCTGGACTACGGCGTGTCCCCTCACACAATGTCTAGGGGCCAGAGATTGCCGCCTTCATCATCTGTTTGTGTCAGCTCCTTCCAAGTGGTTTTTTTACTTGCCTGGTCAAAATTGTCCAACGCAGCATGAAGATTAGCAAGCATCCCGGTTGGTGGCTCATTGGTTATTTTAATAGAGTTTTCCAGGATTCCCTGAGGAATGGCATGTTCCTCGGGGGTGGCGGCAGGTTCGACACTCATAAAGACCCGATACGTGAGGTGACTTCCTTCACTGTGCTTCTCCAGTAATTTCTCTAATGTGTCAAGCCACTTTGCAACAAGATGAATATTCTAGAGGGGAGATAAAAATAGGCTTCCTAGTGAGCTATTGATTTGAAATATGAAACATTTTATTGATACGAGCCAAAGGAAGCCATTTGATGTGGCACAATATTTAGGGAGGAGGGGGGAATCACACGCATTTGTTTAGTACAATGAGCTGCATAATGACAGCAATCTTCCCTGTTTGTATCTATTCATCTGATTATAAAGAACAACAATACTTTCTTCAACACATATATTTGCTAAAGGGTGTTTTTTTTAAAAAAAGATGATCATAAATTAGTAAATCAGATAGCAAACATCTGAGAAAGTATTTCAATAAATCTCCCTGCCATACAAAGCCATTGCTGCCGCAGCTCACGTTGTTATAGTGCAATCAATGCTGCAAGCATCCACACACCTAAACAGGAAGCCATGTGTTCCCTCCTCCACCCACTTTTTGGGAGGATCCTAAAAGGACAATACCATTATAATGTGCCCACACTATGCACACAGCATCTTGGGAGCCACCTTAAAACAACAAAATTAGAAGCGCAAAGTGGGTATAATGGAGAGCTTTGACTTACTTGAAGTATAACCCAGTGGCCTTCTTTTGATGCCTTTTCCAAAGCCATCTCTGCGATGGCTTCCTGCCCTTGACCCAAAGATACATTGTGAAGCTTCCCCGAATCAATGGTAAAGCCAAGCTTGTTCCCTTGAACAGAACAATACAGCTTCCATAAAACGCTAGAGAACATGCACTTTTGGAAGAAATTAAACTAAATTCTAAAACAAAAATGCAACACTTGACAACCTGAGCATCCGAAATACTCCCACTTTTTAGTCAAGCCAAAGAAATAAAATCTAGATGCTATAAATTAGCCAGTGCCCTATGTAATGCAGCTCCTGAAGTGCTACACAGGTTTTTAAGAAACTCCAGCCGTATCCTGAGTAATTCTGCTATGAAGCTCAGGTTTGAATTCCCAAATAGTATTCCCAAATTGTATTCCCAAAGAATACAAATGCAAACAAAAGAATTTGTATTGCCAAAGAAACTCCAGTGGACATAACCCTGGATGCACAAAGCCTAGGTTGCAGAACTGGCGCAGATTAGGCTCACTTCAAAGATCACACCTGCCTGCTCTGCATGGGAAATGGTTGATTTATTATTAGTAAACCAAATAGTACAAAACAATATAACAACAGAAGGATCAAAAGGGGTGGGCAGAAGAATATAAAGATATGGCAGATGTGGAGAAGGAATGGAATCTTCCTTGCCATACAACATAGTTACAAGCCCGATGGAGTGGAGGAAATAATTTTGCATAATTTTAAAAGACACATGTCACTACACAGCATGTGCTTAACGTCATGTGAAGTCTGACCTTAAAAGGGGGAGCCGGCTCTTATTGCTCACTGTTTGCACTGCACAGTTCTCACCTATCTAGAACTGCATTCCCCAGTAAAGCCCATTTCGTGCCTCAACTTGCACTAGTTCAGAACATAAGAAGAGCCATGCTGGTCAGACCAGCGGTCCATTGCAGCATTCTAGTCACACAGGGGTTGAGCAGCAGCCTGTGGGAATCCCACAGCATCTTCCAGCTCATGTTTCCCAGTCGGCAGCCAGCCTAGGTGTCCTGCCTCTGATCCTGGAAGCAGCATGCAACCATCAGGAAGAGGGCTCACTGGCAGCCTTCGCCTGCATCGTTCGCCACCCTCATTGCTACTGGAGGAAGAGCTGGGACTTTGCCACCACCGTCCTCCACAACACTTGTCCCGCTCTGCCCAACTGTAGCGACAGCCGGGCAATTTGGGAAGACAAACCTGGGCTCAACAGCAGAATTATGCAGGTCACGGGTCATCAGTTCTGGACTGACATCCAGGCCTCTTCCGATATTTCAGCATTGCTACAATGTTCTGCGATTAAAGCACTGTTGTAATAGATATGAAGATGAAACTCAAATACTTCAGCCACCTAATGAGAAGGAAGGACTCCCTGGAGAAGAGCCTCATGCTGGGAACAATAGATGGCAAAAGAAGAAGGGGATGGCAGAGGATGAGGTGGCTGGATGGAATCACTGAAGCAGTTGGTGTGAGCTTAGGTGGACTCCGGGGGATGGTGGAGGACAGGATGGCCTGGAGGAGTGTTGTCCATGGGGTCGCGATGGGTCAGACACGACTTCGCGACTAACAACATAACAGTAACAATAGATATGGCCGTGCTGTTCTAATGCAGCAGGGATAGCTTTACTGAGCAGGTGAAAAATCAGCCCTGTGCTACTTGGTCAAGCCCTACCTAAAGATTCAACATCTTTCAGTGGATCGACACCAGGAGACAAAATGAACACGACTGGCGAAGCAGGCCCGCTTTCTTGAAATGATTTGGCAAAGTCCGTTTTATGTCCCTCTGCATATTTGGTTCCAAGTTTCTCTTCAACAAAGTTCCTACAATGAAGAGTTACAGATAATAATGCCTCTGGGGAAGCAGCATTTCATTTCTAAAGAAAGACAGTCTCAACAACACAGCATTTCATCATGACTCGTATTTACTGGAAATCAAGCAGAGTCCACAATTCTGCCCTTCAATGCAGTCTTGAGTTAGGACACATAATCTAACCTGACAGCGTAAGTCATTCGATCTGGTCGCAAGGCTCGCATCATAATCAGTTTCTGCAGGGAACTTTTTGTCTTCCATTCCTGTGGAAACTTCTCTTTTTCTGGACATTCTGATTCAACCACTTTTTTCCATCTTTTTGGAGATCCTTCTATATCTTTGTCCAAACCATGAAATTCATCCATAAAGCTGATTGTCTACAAAGACAGATGTTAGCAGAAATATTGCAGAAATACTCTGGGCAACAAACTGTTCCTACCTCCAAAATATGCACACATGTAAAATTCTTAATACAGGTAGATTTTGGCATACAATACCTTAATTGCACTCCAGGTAGAGTTGGAGAGGAATTCCAAAGGGCTGCTGTAGCTGTGGTCAATATTAAATCTCAGAAGGAAGTCTAGCTCATGAGCATCGATCTCCTTATTCATGAGCAAAAGCTTAAAATAAAGACAAAATGCCACCAAATTAAAAACAGAAACAGAAAAATCCATAAGTTTGGAAAATTTCACTTGCTAGACAGATCTGAAGAACCTTGAGAATTTCAGTGCATGCTAAATATAGGAATGGGCAGAATATAAATAACAACAAAGCAACTTCTAAAGATGATGATGATGATAGCACGGGGCCACATGCTACATTTCATTTGGGCTGCATAATTTTTTTCCAAGCTGGAAATGGTCAGTAGCACTGAAGACGAGGCCCAAGGCCAAACTACATGTTATCCATGCCTTTCATCTTTGCATGACTGGTTTTAAAAAAAAGAAATAACTGGCCCTGGCAAGGGAAAATGGGGGCTGTGGCACAAGGAAGAGTTTAATTCACTGGCCATGCTGTCATCCCAATCAGAATTGGCTGAGGGAGGTTGTGCTGATGGGAATTTTCTTCCTACTTCCCAGGGCAGGGCTGATTCTGTCTAGAACTACAAAGCTCCTTTCTCAGCCATTTTGTGGTGCTGTACAGGCCCCCTCCTCTATCTGGTTATTTTTTTAACAGCGATTCGAGAGCTAAAGACACAAATGATATTACTTTTAGTTTATATATTTATTACATTTCTATATCTTTCAATAGCTAAATCTCTCTGGGCAGTTAACAACAATTTAAAAACATAAAGTCAGCATAAAAATGTGGTATAAAACATTAAGAGTTTAAAACTACAGTATAAAATAGAAGTAAAAACCAGAGTCAAATGTGGTGTCAGAACTGAGACTTAAAATACAGTAAAGGGTTGAAAACAACTGTCCCCTGAAACTTAAATTCCTGGGAACAGTCCTGGGAAAATGAGATCTTCACTTGGTGCTGGAAAGAGCATGATGGAGGCACCAGGCGAACCTCTGTAGGCAGTCTGGCCCTTGGACAGACAAGTCAGAGCGATATCTGGTCATATGAGGTGTATTTGGCCACGTGAGACCTGCCCCAAGCAAACTAGCTGCGGAGAGCAAAGGGCAGGCCTTGGGTCCGCACATTTCCTTTGGGACTTCCCCACTGCAGGGAGAAATGTGGGTGTAGTGCAAGCTTATTTGACCCTGCAGAACAGATGTCAATGAACCACGGTATGCCCGTGTCCTGATCAACACAAAGTCCTGAGGCATCCGTGATCGTTGCATCGCAACGGGCAGCGGTGTGAGGAGGCCCACTTCTAATCTCACTCCAGGGAGAATCCCAGTGGCCAGATAACTTCTGGCCAAGCACACCTGTATGTGGCGAAGGGAAGAAGCTTTTGATGCATGTTTGATAAGGCAGTTGGTCAAAAAGCATCATCTTATGTATTGCCATGTGAACATAAAGTTAGATACTAGGGTTTTGTTTTGCTTTTTCATAATTGTGAAACTTTTAACATCTTGATTGAATACATTGTTATTCTACTGAAACTTTTCCCCAAGCTGTTTACTGCAGGCCATTTAGGGTAGCATGTAATCATTATAAATAAATTTACAACTGATTTCTAAATAAATGTCTGGAATATTCATAAAGCTAAATTAGTCCCAGAAATGCTCTTCAGTTTTTTAAAGCACGTTGTGGAAGGGCAGAAAATTTCATCTACCAGTATTTGCTATCTATCTATCTATTTTTTGATTTATATTTATATCCTGCCTTTTTCCTACAAAGGGCTCAAGGCAGCTTACATCTCCTCCTCCATTTTCTCCCCACAACAACAACCCTGTGAGGTAGGTTGGGCTGAGAGTCTGTGACTGGCCCAAAATCACCCAGTTGGCTCCATGGCTGAGCGGGGACTAGAACCCAGATCGCCTGAGTCCCAGTCCCACGCTCTTAACCACTACACCACACTGGCTCTCTACACCACAATTGACTGGAAAATCTTCAGGAGAGTCAGAAGAACCACACAAATGTCCAGTGATCAGAATGAAGAAGAAACTGAACATGATTCTTGGCTGCTCAGTATAGCTGCCCTTTTAAACAAAGGGATGGGAAGGTTGAAGGGGACAGGGGTGTTTCTAATGGAATTTTATTCCCAGGAAAAGGAGGTTAAGCACCTGAAGATACTTCTCAACAGGGAGTGTTCATTTTTGAAATGTATCAGATCACACCAGTGCAATATGGGATTGGCCATGGGGAAAGGTACATTTACTAATGTCTAAAGATCTGGGGCTGGCAGCAGCCCAGATTGTAATCCTATTATCATGGGGAAAAAAACCGAAGCTGGATTACAAATTAACTTTCCTGAATCTGGCACTCTGCAGACACAACTCTTATCATCCTCAGCAGCCATGGGTAGTGGGAGTTGTGGCCCACTATATCTGGATGCCACTCCCTGAGTGAAGGCTGGTGTAGATCATGCTGAAGGAAATGCATTTCCCTGTATCTATGTGCCTATTATCCAAATATTGTGAAAGCTGCTCGATTCAAATATAAGCAGCATTAAAGTAGAAAAAGCAACCTTCTGGTTGCTGCGTTCCTGGTCCAGGGTCTTGGGGAGCAATGGGGAGGGAGACTTGCTGCCCTGTGTGTGACAGTGCCCTGTTTTGCACACTCATCTGTAGTTTATTTAACTCATGCTTTGCTATCCTACCAGTGTTTGCTTGGTAGGTACTCACACAAACCATCGCTTGTTTTCTCAATCCCTCGGTTGTTTGATTTCCCCTTCCTTTACTGGCTCCCCCTTTATCTCAAATGCAAAGCTCTTTGTAGCATTGTAGTACTATCATGTTTACCACTCATCTCCTATAACCTGGCAAAAAATCCCATGAAAACCCATCATTTTGAGTTCACTTAACATGGCAACCCATGGTTTAAACAACCTGGAATTCACAACTCAGCAACAAACCACAGAATCTCCTTCTGGTTGTTCGTGGTTAACAATTAGTGGTTTGCTAGCACAGATGGGTCTGCTGATCACAACAACTCAGAATATAAGTTGCCATGGGTTGAATAATCCAGGAGTTTGCATTATACGAACATCAGGACACGCTCCCTCAGGAGATACCCATGCCAGAACTCCTCGCTCCTCATAGTCGGGAAGAACAGCACCCCATAACAGTGAGGAGCACTGACCTGAGATTCTGCGGAACCAGTGCTACTGATATGACATACAGGCTCCAAAGATATGAGAGTAAAAGTCTAGCTGAAACCCATACCCTGTCTGGCTACAGATGCAAATCATCCAGTTGCATTTATGAGATGGGATTGTGGAATACATGTGGGGCCCTATTTATACTGGGTCCAAAAAACGGTTATTTGGGCTTCAGAACACATGCACAGGGGGAATCCTCTTGGAACCGCCCTGCATGGCCATTTTTCCTTCCAGAAAATTTAAACCATTCAGCATGAGGCTGCCCACATCTAACAAAAGATGCACCATTTGGGGGTGGGGAATGCTATGCTCTGGTGTAAGGGAATTGCCATTTGTTAAAATAGGCATTTTCTTTAAAATGTTTAGGGAAAGCTGTACTGGAAAAGAGTGAGACATAAAACAGCAAATATTTAGTAAACAGTAAATAATGAATATCTGAGTGGGATTGAAAATATTTCAGTAAACACCTTTCTGGTTTCAATCTCTGCAGTATAAAAGGATTCTGTTGAAATAGCTTTATTATTCGAGGCAGACAGATAAGTGTGCTTAAATTATTTTTTTAAAGAAGGCAACAATGTCATTATCATGACTACAACTAAATCCATCTGAGGAAGCCCAGGGATGGGGGGAGGTCAGCAAATGTACTGACACTTATTTTGTGATGCCTTGCTGACATTTTCTAACACCATCCACTGGGTTTGTTTTGTTGGGATGGAAAGGAAACCTGCTAAAATGTACAAAAGGACTGAAGGTTAACATCATTTGCCTCAGCTTCTAACATCTCTTGATGACAATTCAGAGTCACGGGAAGTGTCACAGGAGGGGAACACAATGAATCCTGCAGGGAAAGGCGATTCCCCTCAACTTTGCGGCTCTTACGCCCTCATTTCTTCTTCGTGTAACAGAAGTGCCATCTGTTCCTAACCTTAACATGCATGTGTTTGATTTATATTCAGTAATAGATAATAGTGGGGTGGGGATTACAGCATTTTCCTAAGCATCCGTCAGCATTAGTGAGCTCCCTGGTCCAAAGATATAAAATATGCAGGAAAAGGGTTGGAATCAGCTGCCTCTGTGATATAGAGGAACATGTATCAGGACTGGGAAGAGGCCCGATTTATTCAGCACATAGCAGTGGAGTTTAGGAAGATTCAGAGCCTCCAAAGAGACACAGGCATTCTTTGCTAAAACAACCCGCAAGACTTGTATGTGCTGCTGCTACTTTGCACCTCAGCATCCACCATTGTGTTACACAACCCTGGCTCTGCAAGCCTTTTGATGTGTGCAGTAGTCAGAAGTCTATAAATATGCCTTCTTTACTGTTTTTCAGTGAACCAATGCGATGCAAAGAAATGAAATATGCCAAAAAACAGGAGAGAAGATATTCTCAAGTGCCTGAATAGGCTTTCATAGACTGACACATTTTGGAAAGACAGTTCCTTCCTAAGGGGCCACTCATCCTTCTTTTTATTCAAAGCAGAGGATGTATCAATAATATTTTTCAAAATAAACATGGAGAAAGATGAGCGCTTCCCCCCCCACACCGCCCGAGGAAGGAAATATCTTTCTGAAATGTGTGCAGCTTACTAAAACCTTTTCAGGGTCTTGAGAGTAACTCCGCTTCTGATTTTAATTTTAATTTTATTTTGTACTAGTGCATTATGTTAAGCAATCCAGAGAAAAGAGCCCCAGTTCCTGCAGTTCTATTACTGGGGAATGTAATAAAACAACCACCAGTGTATATTCTACTTTTTATACTGCCTGTCAGGTGAAGTAAAGCGAAATGGTACAAAACATAGTACGATACCGTCTAAAATCAAATTAACAACAAAACCACCCATTAATATGTCAGCTAAAAACAGCAGCAGATATATAATGAACTGGGATTGGAAAAAGCTTAAACAGAAATGTCTCCACCTCCTGCCAGTAGCAAGGAGCGATGGGTTCGACCTACATCTTTTGGAAGCCTCTTTGACACAGGCATGCTGGGAAATGCAAAGTCGGACCTGTAGTTCTCAAAGGGCCTACTGTGGATGATGCCAGCCTCCTCTCATGTAACAAATTGTCTTTTTCCTGTTCACAGTGCAGTATTTTTCTTTGAGATACTGGGCCTGGTTTCAACAACGATGGGCTGGATGGACCAAAGGTGTGCCTCAGTATGAGGCGGCCTCCTGTGTTCCTGAGAACGTTGTAGCCTTCTGGAATTAATGGGAAGAGCATGTCTACATGGCTTTCAGCAGACACACAGGCACAGATCTACGCAAGAGAAGGATGCCTGCTTGCTTATTACAGTTCAGGACAGAGGTAGCCCATGCTGCAGCAAGTACGGAGGTCTGGTGTGCTGCAAACCCCCTTTCCTATCCTGCACAAGGAAAAGGGGTCTGAACAAGGCACAAGACAGAGAGGCTGTTCCTACATTTGCTACGCTTTGCATTAACAAGGGACGTGTGGCTTAAAGGTTCTTATAGGAGCTGTGGCTTATAGCTTGGCATAGCGCATGTACCTTCTGGCCATGGGTGCATTCCTACTGGGTACGGCTAAAGCAATTCAGATTCATATTTCTCATATTGTTTTCAGCACTACATGCAGTTCACATGCACATTAAAGCATCATGGGATGGAAATGCTAAAAGGAGCAATTCTGGCCCAAACCATTTTTTTGCTCAAAGTACAGCACCAATGGTTTTATCACCACCTCCATGCACAAGACCAGCACTTCATATACATTGTTTATTAACTGTTTTGGAATATCTGTTAATTAGATCCACTGTTCTACTCTAATACAAAATTGAAATGAGGTCTTGCAGCAGCGTTTCTACCCACCCCTTAATTTTGCTACTGTAAGCAGCCTGGTTCACCTTCCTGTGTTGGTCGGGCCAAGTCTGCAAGGGAGCTGCAAACCTAGATAAGAAATGGAGCTTAACTAACAATTCTTTGACAAGGCAAGAACCAAGAATATGAATGCAAAGTCTACCTTTGGCATTTTGGTTTTAACAACATTTAAAGGAATAAAACAGATGCTATACTCTGAGTGAACAGAGGTAAAAGTTTGGAATACTCACATATCTATGGACCAGGTTTTCTGGGAAGACTGCTGACTTTTAGTAAAGTGTTCTTTGTTATACTGACAACGGATTTCTTGGTTTTCTGAATTCTACATTCCAGTAGGCCACAATCCGTGCTTTCACCCTTATTCCTGGCCACAGTCTGTGCTTCCACCCTTATTCCTGCCTTCTTTATATGGAGTATATCTCTCCTCCACTCCCTCTCAAACCCTCCAGTCCTGAGTCTCACCAGTCCTAGTCCAATATTCCAACAAGAACAACATATCGGCTCTGAGCCATTATGATAAAAACAAAAAATTGGAAAGCATCTGCTGTAATTCCACAAAAAAGAAAGACCGTGTCTCAAGATGCTGGAAAAGAAATTTTATTCCAAGCCCAAAGCATTTTGGTCTAATTTTATTTCAGAGAGTTTTTCAAGGGCTTCAAAAACAAGCAACACATGATGTTGAATACTCAAAAACAAGAGCAATCTATTTCATTCAGCAGTTAACTTACTCACTTTTAATTGATTTTTGGAGACTTTTTAATTTGGATAAGTAAATATGTATTTTAATGTATTTTGTATTTATATATGTTTTTATGGGTTTTGTGCATTTTGTATAAAAGGTTCAACTATATATATTAAAAAAAACAATTTCTCTTTCTCCTTTCCAAATGTATGTTCATTCCAGCTTGAATTTTAAGGTTCTTTTAAAAATGTTGCAAGAAAATCCATACCCCTACATTTTTGAACATAATGTTGCCTAACATAAACAATTTTAGCAAGTAAGTGTCCCAATATATCACATTTTTGAACATAATTTCCCCCTACTCTTACCTGGAGAACTCCCCCTGATATTAACTGGAAATCTCCATCGCTAAATGTGGAGAAGCGTGCATTTTGAAGGATAAGCGAGTTTCAGTCTGTGTACTGGTTTAAAAGTGAGCAATTAGATCATTTCAAGCTCAGTTAATTTCTTCCCCATCTCTACCCTGGGCACCAGTGGCTCACCTGATTTCAAGTTCCAAGAACCTGTGGTCTGACCCTTACCCAAGGCAACAATCCTGTACCCACTTACTTGGGAGTACACCCAGCGAATAAAACCAAGTATACCTGGAAAGCCATCTGGGCAGTGATGGCCAGCTTGTCTCTCTCAAATAGGCCACGACTGAGGTAAACAAAAGTAGAGTAGGTGACACAGCCGATCAAGTTGCTGACCCGCTCCTTCTCACTGCTGGAAGGTTCTGCTTGCTGTACTGCTTTGTGAAATACAGCATTAAAGGCCTGGGCAAAGAGACAGACGAGCATGTAAGCCAACAGCGATGATAGATTAAAACACCAGTGGACAAAGCTATTGATCATGTTCTGAATAGTAACCTTCAGTGAGAACTGATACATGGGATTGATTTTTTTCAACTCATCCATGAAGAAGTAGAGCAGGGATGCTCTTGCTGCCACTGGGCGATAATGCTCGCGAGCCTCGTTGATCTTTGCTTCGTTGATGTTCGCTTCTGTAACCTGCAGGGGTTCAAAAACTGCATGTTACGGATAGGAACTCAGATGTTGCTGTGATGGACTGGCCCAAGGAATTTTGCTGCCTAAGGCGAGGGTAAGATTGGCCTGCAGCAGAGTGGCCTCCCTGCTCCTCATCCATGGGCAGATGTAGGCAACTGGCGGCCGAATCTTCCTGCACCGTGGGCAGTGGGCAGCATGCTCCACCACACCACACCACTCATGCAGGACGCAGGCAGGCTGTGTGGAGAGCCCAGCTCTGTCCTCCAACAGACAGGAACATCCCGGGAGGCTACAAGGAACACCCAAGCAGGGCTGTCTTAACAGCATTATGGGCCCCGGGCAAAGCAGTGTACTGGGACCCCTATGACAACTACAACTACTGTTGATTTTGGGAGTTTTCCAATTTTCCAAGGGTTAACATACACAGATTAGTATGGGGCCCAGGGGCAAGTGCCCATCGGGCCCATGCGTGAAGACGGCCCTGCACTCAAGGGGCTGTCACTGCTGTCCACCCAAGCTGCAGCATCTGCCGCTGGACTGCCACCACACATGGCCTCACGGGAGGGTTGGCCCTGAGTTTCAGAACTTAGCAGTGCTGAGTGGGGGTAAACTGGCATGAAAAAAGAGGCAGAAGCATACTACATACCTGGCACTTCAGGGTTCAGTACGGTATGCTGAGCCCTATTGACTTCTGCTATACCTATTTGGATTGAAAGCTTAAATGCCTGACAGGGTGGAGATGGGGAAACAGAAAAAACAGGCATTACCCAGGTCCTGGGCAGTATCCAGAGGTAGCAGTGTGTTCATCAGGTGGCATTAGAAAAGGGATCAGTACCAGGCATCCATGGTGTCAGGCACGAGGTTTCCCCCTTGGCACATTCAGGGCAACGGGCCATACCTTTGCAAAATTACTTTCCAAAGTAATTCCAGTAAGTGGTTCCATAGACCCAGTCTAGCCACGCCTTCTGAGAACCCTCCTTCTGAGGTCTTCTCTCTCAGAGAGTCCTTCTGGGGGTGGGCAAAGCTCTTCTCTGTATGCCACCCCTCTAGCGGACTAGCCCTTCTCTCCTGACACTACACCATGAGGTCAAGAGCCATGTCTGCCCCCTCCCAGCTATTCTCAGAGTCTGCCAGAACACCTAGAGAGGGTGACCTTGAGATAAGCTCCTCTGCTGCTCCCATCTCAGTGCCTGTGAGTACCAGTTCTTAGGGCCCTTTCTTCTCCTACTCTGAGCAGCCTGAATCTGCCTGACCTCAGAATGCACACCAAGAGCAGCAGCCTCTTTCATTCCCAACACCTGGGTAGTTGCCAGGGTTCAGGTATGGCCCTCTGTTTTCCAAACCAGGTATTTTCAAGTCACAAAAAAGCTGCATTGCTTCCACCAGGGAGCCACTGAAATAGTAAGCTCGCTAGAGGCCAATTTTATTACAGGCATTCTCAAACCTGAAGCTGCTGCAAAAAAGGATGAGTGACCAAGCAAGCTTTCCCTTTAAGAAATAGCACACAAGGGAAGAGTAAAAACACCTTCATGCCTGGTTATCTAACTGGCTGCCATTGCCTGCTCTGTGTCTTTCCCAAGATGGCCCCAACCCTTGGTTCATGGGGTCTCAGCTTCTGTATCTCCTAGGAACCCTTCCCACTGAGTTTTCCTGTGTTCTGTTTTCCTACCATGCTCATGTTGCTCCTCACACCATAAGGTATGTCACTCATTCAGTTGTTTTGAATATTCGGTTGCCGACAATGAACTTTTCTACTTGAGCCATTTGTTGAATGCTCATCATTCACTATTCATGGTTGTTTATGGGTTCTTTAGATGATATCACGACCTTCCTTTTTTTTTTTTTTTTGTTTCTCTTTGTAAGCAGCACTTTCAACATATTTTTTTAAAGAGCAGAGAAAATGTGGCATTAATTGTGAAGGTGAAAGAAAATGCCTTTTCATTGCTCTAATAGTTCTATTGCATGATGGTGCCACCTAGAGGTTATGTAATGGAAAGGCACGGAGTGCGCAGAATTCCATTCCACAGGAAAACAAAAAGTAGATATAGCTAAAAACAGCTCTGTACAGAAAAACTCCACATTGTGTCAGAAGTCAAAATGTTTCTGAACTTTCCTCAGCAGCACAGCCTACCAATGCCAGATGTTTAGCCACTACACAAATTCCTTAGTGCATGGGTGGGCAAATTTGCCAACCACCTTATGTGTTGGCCTCCAACTCCTATCAGCCCTGACCAGAATGCTGTAGACAAAACCTTTGGAGGGCTTCTGCTTAGTGCATTGTAGTGTAGGTAATACTGAAAGGAAGCATTTATATAATCTATCTAAGTATTGTGTTATGATCATATATTTAAAACAAAGGTAAGTATAATTTTGGACCTTAATTCTGCTTGGATAAATACTCTGTCATCTTCTTCAGCTGAATCTACCCGATTCTTTTATATTGCAAATAGAAGATAATATAGTATAAGAATGAAAATTAACTGATAGGTTCTGTGTGCTTCAGGATCAGGTAATAAAACCTATGAAAATGCCATATACAGTACATTCAATTTCTACACAGATATAACATGCCACTATTTTTAATGTCAAATGTATTGTTGTTATTGTGTGACAGTGTTAATGTAATGTAAGAGAAGTAATTCAAAGAGGTTAAAAAATTGCAGTCATTTTCAAGCTACATCTTGCTATTCTTAAGCATTCAGACTGCACTAAATATCTACTGATGTGCATCAGAGTGGCTGAAATTAATTTTGAGGCATGGTATTAGAAATACACATTTATTGCATTCATGTTCATTTGCGGTCGCTCATTTTGTAGCATTTGCATTGTTGTATATTATTGCTGCTAGTACTGACAGTTTGATTGAGAAACAGACGCTTAAGCCATCCAATTTGCCTGCATTTTATGGTGATAATCCATTCTTTTCCTCACCTCTTGTGTTTTTACTTAACATGCCACGTTTATGGGCTAACAACAACTAATGTACAACTTTTGTGTAATGTATGGTTTCACCATAATTGTTTCCTGAAAAAAAAAAAAACCAAAACCCTAAGGAAGGGAAATAATAGGAAGAAATTAAAAAACAAGCCTCAAAACCTTATTTTTCAACTGAAAGTTATATATGAAGTATAAAAAGAACAGAAAGAACTAAATGCCCACATCAGTTCCAAAGTCTCTTTGTTTTTATGCTGAAGGATTTAAAAATATTTATGACTAAAAGCTATCATTACATCATAATCTGCATAGAAAATATACTGTACAGTGCTTGCTATGCAGAGTATCTTGTACATATTCTAATACAATTATTGTAGATAACCATTTTTATTAAATTCCAGTAGAAAACAGCAAGAATTAGATACAAGCTGAGAAGCAACTGGTAAAAAGAAATAGCTTTGTTTTAGATTTTAAAAGAGAGTTACTTTCACGTTATTATGTTATCATTGTTTCTGTATGCTACCATTTCTTCATTTCTGTAACTTTACCTTAATTTCTATTTCTGCTGCTGTGTGTTTTGTTGTTTCCAGCCTCTCAACCAGGAGGGTATCCCCAAGGAAATTACTCTCGGCAGCTGAAAGGCGTGTCAGTAATTCATCTTCAAGCATTTTCAACTCAATTTTAAAATAATTTTGCTGCTTTGTGAGTTCAGACTGAAATGAAAATGGTAAGGTTGCAAACCTATAATTCAAGCACCATTAATATAGGAAGTACGCATCACTGAACTTCTAAACTTGCTGATCTCCCAAGACTTTATTATAGCCCTTATTTTTAGAGTTTGGTAATTAAGAAATGGATTAATATAAAACAGGTGTAAAGATGTAAAGTATGGCTTTTTCTGAATATTAAAACCAGAGAAAGATTAGCTAAATATCAGGTATAGAATTTAGCATCAACCCCAATAAGGCTGAGCTGAACATCCAGACTTATGTCTTATGTTTTAGCATAATTACTTCTGTGGCAGCTGTGGTATTTTCAGTCTAAAACAATGCAGGTTGTAGGGGGTGGTTTTGTTTTTAAACTCAGAAAGAACAGTTCAGTAGGGTGAAGGGTGAACTCAAGGTAATCCAGCTGTGACCCAAGAAAGAAAACAATGCAAATAAATAAAGTGAGCCTCAAAAAGGCAAAACAAAACCTTGTATCAGAAAGATGCATGAACAAGAAGACAGATGTGGAGGCATTTGCTTCCACCCATTTACACACCTTGAAGTGTTCCAGATCTGGTCTTTCCATGTTGACAACATCTGCCAACAGCTGATCCTCTAAACCATCTTGCGTAACTCTAAAATTGATCAATGTAGTCTGGGCCTGGATTTCTGGTCTATACTTAGGTTTAGCCAGTTTTGTGTGGAGGATGAGCTGGAATTTTGGGTGAAATTTGCACTCCTTATCTCCAACCCTGATATACCTGTTAAAGGAAAAGCATGCGAAGTGACACTCTTTTGCAAAGAACTGTGTTTAGGGAGGCTTAATTCACCAGCAACTGTGTGAAAGACTGCAGCAATATTCACGTTAGAAGTGTATTTTTATGAAAAGAAGCCTATTTTGTGATGGAGGAGGAGGACAAATGGAAAAGTTACCCAGTTTTATAATTAATTAAAACAAGGGAGAACTTCAGCTGAAACAATAAAGATTTCAGCATTCATTCAAATTCAGAATTGCAATGAAAATGTAATAAGTCACAACAGGCCACAAAATCCCATGTTGAAATCAGATGCTCCCAAGGGAGCAAGAAATTAAAGATACCTTTTTCATGTCAAGACAGTGGATCAATAGTCAGCATAAAGAGGGTTCAGCTGGTGTGAAGATGCCACTCAAAAGATGGACCCAGCAGGCACCCAAACTCGCAAACAAGATTTGGACTTAGGTGGGAAATTAAGGTCACAAAGTGAGAAAGGAGCTCGAAAAACTATCATTGGAATTGTGGGCAACTAGGCTCGGATAAGCTTTGATGCTTGCTTTAGCTGTCTTAGCTTTGTTTTTAAACTCAGTAATTGGAGCAAACTTTCAGGAACAGGAAAGCCAGTACAAATATACCTTGCAATTTCTTTGTCAGGATAAGCTGACATGAAATAAAAGCATCCACCACACCCCTGTACCAATATTTCTTTCTAGATAGTAATGGAATGTTCCCACCAGCATTAAGTCTTTTAAAATCTTATTGGTTTCTATGTGGGGGTTAAGCACATATCTAACATTTTCTGATTGCAATCAATGAGGCATAAAAGTGCAAACATTTGGCCACAGTGAATCCTCGTGCCAAGTATCAGGCAAGATCAGCTTTAGTTATGTGCAAAGCATGTGATACTAGCAAAGCAGGTAATTTCCTTTGTTGTATAGTATTAACAAGTGAAATTAGGACCAATTACGCATAGGCTTACACATTGCCAGAAAAAGGACAAGAGAGACCACAAATTTCCATAACATTTGTATATACTAATATGTACAAATGTACCAATAATTGCTGTAATCTGAATAAAAATCCAATGCATCTCACCACAGTGGGGATTGCTATGGCCAGATGAGCCATGTCTGAGCTCTTGGTGCTCACTCTTCAAGGCATCTTCAAGGCCCCGCCAAGGCTCTCCCTTCTTAGCACTTTTCAACTTTAAACCAAACTTGTGCAGGTCTGCTTATCAAAGAGGTTCCCTTCAAACAGAGGACTGTCCTCTGTAAACTAGAACACTGCTCCTCCTTATATACGTTATGCATATATGTATTGCAAGCTACTCATGTCCAACTAGGCTAATTTCAAGTGCAGAAATAGTATAGGAAGCAGGCATGTAACCCTTTGCAGTCCAATTGTGGTCTAAGCAGTGGGACCCATTCAGGTTTAAATACAAGGAAACAAATGTGAGAAAACTAGTGGGAGAATCAGGGAAATGGCATACTGGGAAAAGCATACCTACACGTCCCCCAACTCCTTCACTTATCCTTAGAACAGGCCTCCAGGTGTTGGGCTGCTATTCCACAAGTTCTCATGTAAAATATATTGGGCCGTGTGGGCAATGACTCATCACATCTGACATATTCTCCAGGCCTTTAAACATAGTGATTGAAATGCTTGTTTGTTTATTCAGTAAAGGCCAATGAATGATACAGGCATAGGCCTGGTTGCATGATTCATTTCTAAGGATGCAGCGGGTGCAACACCGCATGAAAGCTGTGCCTGTCAAATGTGCGTGTGGCATGTTGGGAACAAAGAACGGTTTCCTAGAGATGAACAACTTTGTAAGTCTTTGTTTCTTTCACATTTTTTTTTTTAAACCTCAAATAGTCGAATAATGCTGTGAATTCTGGAAGTTCTTATCAAAATGCAAACTGAACCAAGTTTTCACTCAAATACTTGTAGTTTTGACAGTGGTTGAAACTATGACAGTCCAGCAATGAAGCCAAATAACTTACAGACATTCTATGGAACTGGCTACTTTTACGTGCTGTATGTGTCCATATAGCCGTTTTATTTGTTATGTTAGTGTTGGGCTCATTGTATTTATGGCATTTTATTGAGTTTTGTTACGGAAAGCTGTTGTAGAAAAAGGCAGGGAACAAATTTTATAGATAAAATAGAGACTGTTCTGAATCATACACAAGTGAAGGCTAAACTACATACTACCTTAAATACATACAGTGCAGTTGATCCTTGCTTTCTTTTTCACCTCAGAGTAAGTGCATTCATATGACGGGATTAAACCTTCCTGCCCATCTCCCTTTCCCCCTAAATTTGTCTGTTCCAAGCAGAGGCTAACAAAAGAAAAGACAAAACCCTCTCTTGTCGCCAAGGATTAGGTTTTTTTTTGGGGGGGGGGTTGTCCCAATTTTAGTCTCTGCATGAAGAAGGGGCAATTTTAGTAAGGAAAAAGGCAATTTTAGTAAGGGGCAATTTTAGTAAGTGAACCCTCTTCTGCATGTGTTAGTCCACATCCAGGACTTCTGAAGTAAAAAAAAAACACAGTGAAAATCAGCTGTATACTACATATTTAATTAATATAGCCCTTTGTTTAGCCCTACACTGATTTGCACAACAATGGCACTTTAAGTATTGTTTAAGCATCAGGGACCTTTTCCGTGTCTGCTCCCAAGCTCTGGAATTCTCAGTTGGCTTTCTAATGGTAGACTAAAGGTGGAATGCTATGGAAGTTTAGACAGCAGAAATGCCCACAACACCCAGCATGCTCCAGCCAGCTGGGAGTTGTAGACCATTTTTGTCTAAACATGCATAGGATTGTGCCCTAAGGTGTTTTTGTTCACCTAGGCCTTTGGCATATACACTGATTTCTTCTATTGTTTATTTCATCTATTGTGTTTTAGCTTAGGTGTTATATTTTAATTAAGATTTGTTTTTTAATCTTTATTTTACTTTTAGATGACTAGAATGCCACTTCTTGGTAGAAATGCAGGATATAAAGCAACTGAATGAATTAAAAGAAAAGTCTAGAGAAGCCAGAACAAGAGCAGAAAGCTGTAGAAGTTCAGGCATACCCCAGAGATACTATGGGTTCAGGTCCAACCCCTGCAATAAAGCGATTATCACAATAAAGTGAGTCACACATTGTCTTTGGTGTCTCTGTGCACATAAAAGTGCTATACTGTTGTCAGTCGATTACCTGGGCAATCGCATTATGTCTAAAAACCCCATAAGTTTTAAGTTCACTGTCTTATATGTGGCCAGTTTGTGGTGCCCCAAAACAATTACAATAACATCAAAGATCACAGATCACCATAACAAATATACAGTAACTGTGATGAAAAAATTTGAAATATTGTGAGAATTACCAAAATGTGACACAGAGACACAAAGTGAGCAAATGCTATTGGAAAAAGAGGCTTGTTTGAAGGGTTGCCACAAACCTTTCATTTGTAAAAAACAATATCTGCAAAGCGCAATTAAGGTAAGTGCAATAAAACAAGGTATGCCTGTAAAGGTCATTTCAAGAGGAAGTCAGCTTCTTCGGTGATGTTTCCTCCCACACCCCATTCAGTTCTGCTTATATTTTATGGGTTCCAAAGAAGGGACACCAGCCGCCCTCATCTCTAAGAACAGACTTTTGAAGGGCTTCTCAATCCCTTAGAATGAGTTGGAGTAGCACCAAACCATTTCTGCAACACACCTCCATTCCATTGTGTGTCTGTGTTTTCTTTTCTTGTGTGGGGACTCTTGGCTTTCCACCTCACCAACAACTGTAGGTTACAGCCTTACCTTTGAGGGCACTGAACCTGTTCTTATGAACCAGGGAAAGATGAGAATGTAATGAGAAGAAGCAAAGACCTGTGAAACAGGCATTTTGGAGGAAGACATGCATATAAACAAACAGCATTACCTTCCCTTCTTTAGCAGATGTTTCCCAAGAAGAGGGTCAAGCACAGCATCAAAGGTCTCCTCGAAGTTTTCTATTAAAACAGAATCTCCAGCAATAACAGCCTCTTCCAGGATATGCACATACCTGCAAAATCCACAGAGAAACCAACAGTGCAGTTCTCTCTTGGTCTCTGTGTCCCCATCGTTCTCTGTCTGACTTACTCCCGGATCAGTGAGCGTAGAACTACAACTTAACAAGAGCTGAAAGAGTAGGAAGAAGGTACAGGCCAGGCAGGAAAAGCACAACTGTCCCCTGAGGGTTTTTTCCACTCAGCGTTTTGCTCAGATGTATTGGTTTCCTCGACTGCAATGCAAGTGACAAGCCTGGTGTAAAACAAGCCAGCACATGCGACTGCAGTCGCTCCACACCCAACGTTTTTATTCCTGTTAATAGCCGTGGTTGCCAATGAGTGCTTACCCTTTCTGACCCAAATGGATGACTTTCAAGCCGGAGCCGTATCTGCTTTTTATCCATTTGATCCCCTGGTGCTGGGGGTCAATCAATACAGGCCAGCGTTCACAGTTTGTGAGAATAGTGGCGTTTTGTGTGGACATGGCATCACTAGGCAAGCCTTCATTGTTCCATTTAGCAATTGTTGCATCATCCGTCAGCACAGAGATTGGATCAAGACCTTCAGTCACTGCAATGGGGACCTAAAATAATAAAGGTTAACTTAAAAATGACTAGTTCCACTGTCTCTTCCCAATGACAACACATCACCACTCATGTCTATAGTGTGAGGAAAGTTGAAGTGTCGGGGGGGGGGGGGATGTAGCAGGATCACCCAGAGCGCTCATAGACTTGGTGTGTTCTCTGCACTGAGTTCCTGGCATAACAAGGCACAAAGCTTTATAGAAATTGCGCTATATTAGATCATAACCTTAAAGCAGAATCTTAAATGGCTTTACTGGAGCTATACTTGAGTTCCGTACTCAATACCAATGACACCCCATATGCAGCCGCTGTCGCTGGCTGCTCCGCACCCTGGGTGCCATGCACGCGAGGGTCACTTTTGCTTGGAGGCTGTTTATGCACACTCTTGCATGCACACAAACTTCTCTCGAAATCCTGTGTGTTAAGAACCTCTGTTTCCCAGGTTGCTAAGCCTGCATATGGGAGCCTAGATGCCTGCAAGGGGATTTCAAAACTGCTTGTTGCGAGAAGAGAGGCACGGAGTTAGCCTAGACTCATTGTTTTGATGAGTGGTGGTTATTGTGATGTCCAAACATAGCCACTCTAAGCAAGCACAATCCCTCAAGCAGTGAAGTAGGAGCTCACACGGCACTAACCAAGATCAGTCCCTGAAGGTGTTTGTTTGTACCACAATCAAATGGCTGAACAGGAATTGTGCCCTTACCAGATACTTCTAAATAATTTTCTGGACGCTCCCTGAAGGAAATGTAATGGGAAGGAGAGTTTGGGGAGCAGTGAGCAGGGAAAGCTTAAACATCTTCTCTCTGCCCACAGCTTCTCTGTTGCAAACTGTCATTCTCCATGCTCTGAGGAGAAGGACCAGCTTTAGTTTCAGTCGTCATGGAATATCTAGAACCAATCTTTTAGAGATCAAGGTCCCAACCCCCTGCCTTGTGTCCTTGCAAAATCCCCAGTTTTTGCTGCTTCCTTGCCAGCAAATTCAATAGGAGGGGCGCCAGCCCTGCAAAAAATACCAAGGGGGGCATTTCTTAAGTATTTAAACAAATAACCTTGACTTCTATCAAACTTGGGACTCTTTTTATTATTGGCTAGAGAAATGGGACTTTGCATAGATTTAAATATGTTTTTAAGTTATCATAAATGGAAAAAGAAGGGTGTGCGGGCTGACCCAGCGGGCTCAATGTTTTTTGATGATGGATGTTGTTTGTAGTTTCTTTTTGCTTTTTAGGATTATAATTTCAAATAAAACATTTAAAAAAACAAATAACCTTGCAGGATGATAGAATGTCTCAGTTGCTGCATGTGCAAGAAGTTTATTTAAGAGTAAATTGTTTTTTAAAGTTCTGCTAGTTCAGTATATATAGTTGGGGATGGATGAGCTTGTAATGAGCAGGATCAAGGGCAAAGGCTGGCTGCAAATGCTACAGAGAACAGCAGGGGCTGCCATGTTTAAATGTAGATGCATGTCAGCATCTGAATGAACACTGAACTATTTGGAAGGATACAATCTGTTCACATAGATACAATTAAAAGCAAGCATCACCCAATGAAATATTTTGCTTACATACTGGTAACATACAGGTTTTCATGGACTCTCTATCATATACAGAGCATTGGTATATCTTCTAAATAATGAGTATTTTTTAAAAATAACTCCTCAAAACAGTGAAAGATAAGTTAGCTTATTACCTCCTGGCTTCTCAAAAAGGGCAGCCACAGGTTTTGGACTAGCTCATGTCGGTACCGTTTTGCAAATGGCCCGGCGTATGAAATAAAAGCTGCAGTTAGAAGCACATCTCCACACAGCGTCTTCTCTTGTTCATGGTATTGTGCTATTGATTGAGCCCATCGTACATTCTCAGACTAAAATGTGAGGATCACAGGTTAATTCGTAAGAGGTACTTAAGATAACTATCAAATTGTCCATTAAAATAGGAAAAGAAGCTCAGGTGCCATTTAGTGTTCTCAGAAGATTCCACCTTGAGATAACACCCTGCATTAAACGCTCAGTGGAATTAAAAAAAACAAGCAAAGTTTGCACCTGTTTCCACAAGAAGGCAAGGAAAAAGGAGAAACAGGCCTCCTAGGAGGTGCATTTTAGAGCCCCAGGGGCCAGCACAGAGAAAGCCCTGCTCCTACTTGATGAAAATCTAGTATCCAGAAAAGGTGGAAATTGGAACAGGACATTACTAGATCATCCAAAATTGGGGGCTAGTGTGTTATAAGAGAAACAATTCTATCTAAGGTATTAGATGATTTAGGACTTTGAGTTTAGACTGAAACCAGATCCTATTTAATTTTTAAAAATACTCATAATATGACCATGCTGGCTTATATCTATCAAAAAACTGGTAGTTGCATTCTTTACCAGATACAGCTTTTAGAACATCTTCAGGTGGTATCCCACATATAGTGAACTGCAATAATATAACCTAGATGTCACTAAGCTATGAATGACTAACTTAAGGCAAAAATGTGCAACATGATACATTTAAAAACTGATTTTATGTAAGCCAAAAGCAATGGGTTCGAGCAAAAGATATCCTTTCATTCATGACTGGAAGAGCTTTCAGTCCAGTGGCTTCTGCCTGTCCTTCCTTTTCTTACAGCCCCCACAGCACCTCCTGATGCGCCTTAGAGGATCCTCCAATCTCCAGAGCATATTTCTCAGCAAACAGGGGACATTTATAAACATGGACTCTCCCACTTGCATTCACAGGAGCCAAAAGCCCCCTTGCCAGTGAGTGAAGCTCTGCTCATGGAATCAAAAGATCCCTTCCAGAAATGGCATTTTACAGGACCTAGACTTTCTTCTGCATATCAACACTCCAAGGTGAATTTCTGGGATTGATGCTAATCACAATCTCTGGGATTATTTCTATATTTATTTCATTTTTATACTGCTCAATTGTTGAAGGTCTCTGGGTGGTTAACAAATGATTTAAAAAATTAACTTCTTTAAAAAGAACCAGCATAGAAGCACAGAATAATGTGGTATTAAAAGACGAAGTTAAGAAGGCAAACTGTTAAAATGCTGGGAGAATAAAAAGGCCTTCACCCAGCACTGAAAAGAATACAAAGTAGGTGCCAGGCACACCTCTTTGAGGAGTTCATTCTACACTCAGGGTGCCACAACCGAAAAGGCTCTTCTCCTAACAGTTACTTGCTTTACTTCCTTTGGAAGGGAGTCCTGGAGAAGAAACACTGATGATGACCTCAGGGTCCATGTAGGTACATATGGGAAGAAGCGATCCTTCAGACAGCGTGGCCACAAGCCATTTAGGGCTTTGGATATTAGTGGTAGCACTTTGAATCAGGCCCAGCCTTCAACTGGCAGCTGAAGCAACTGGAAGAGGATGGCATAATATGTTCTTATGAGCTAGTTCCCATTAACAGTCTTGCTGCCCTGTTTTGGATCTGCTGAAGTTTCCGGACCATTTTCAAAAGCTAAGGAGCAGAATCTTGGCTTTATGATCTATTCAAGTATTGACCTCTCTCTTTTTAGATTTTTTAAAATTACTAACACATTGCCATTATCTATTTTTGGATTAATATATGCATTGCTCATCTCAGTGAAAACAATTAGAGAATTATCACATTGCTTAAGCAACTAACACAAATCACAGCGTTCTACAACCTGGCCAAGGGCAGCTATCGTAAGAAATGCTCCATTGTTGACTCAGAGCATTTCAAACTTAAGAGTATCTTAAAAATCATGTCTGTTGCCAGTACCCAATGGTCACCATTCCTCTTTCTTTTAATGTTCCTGGACATGTTAGTTAGTAGGTAATCTTGCAGTTAATATATACAGCAGAGAGGCAAAATGTAAGAAAATGTAAAGGTCAGAAACACATTTCCTTTATGGAAAAAAATGAATGATAATGACATAATTTTTTTCAGCTCATCAGGTTCTTTGCTAAGTGCCTGTGTTATTGTCAGATCACTAGTGTATAACAAAGACATGCTTTCTCTAGGCTGCTTCATTAGCCTGCCCTGTAGGACCTCACCTCCAGACCTTTCACTAATCTGTTGGCCAGCTCAATAGTCTTGTTAGTTCTATTCACTTCTTCCTGGCAGCGGATTTTGTCAGCTGTAGCCCTTTCAAAGGCGGTGGTGAAGGCAGCCAGGTCTGTGTCTAGTTCCTTCAAATAAAAACAGTAAGAAACAAGTCTAGACATTGTAGGGACCAGCAACAAATATGTCAGCTGCTGTCTTTTTTTTATATTATGGGGTGTTAAATTATACAGCTGAGAAAAAGACATAAACACAATTGGCCTTAGAAACATTCAGGTGTTCCATTCACACAATCACCCCCCACCCCGGTAAATTAGCTTAGTACAGTAATAGCAGTAATAGTACAGTAATATTTCCATTCTTTTACTACCATGTCCACAACCTGTCATTCATTAAAAGTCATGGGAGGGACCGCATTCACACAACACAATTTGGGCTTATTTTCCAAGAGGGTCAGTTCTTATCCCCGCACTGCTCCTGGAACAGGGTGTACCAGGCATTTAAGCTGGAAGAAAGTCACATAGGCTGCCAAGGGCCCTCTGGCTATCAGCATTCACATGTGCCACACTGCTCCAGTGACTGGCTGCCGACGTGCTCCTTTAAACAAAGCACAGAGAGAAAAAGAAGGAAGGGGGAGAGCCAAGCTGACATAGAAGGAACACCCAGAAATGCCCGGAGTGGTTTATCCTCTACAATGCTATGCTATCAAGATTGATGTTTGGCAAAATCAAGCGATGCAGTCAGAATCCTGCAGCCCTTCTCGGCTTTGAATCCGGTCATCACCTACGGAGGGAAGTCAAAGAAGGGTTTGTCTGCAAGGACAAGCAGATGGCCCCGGGTCCCGCGTGCACCCCTGGAGGACTCTGGGCAAACAATTCATTCCTGAATAATTCGGCAGCACCGGGGCAGAGTGGAGCAGGAGCAAAACTGTGCACAGCGGCCTACGGGATCCGGAAATGTTGGCTTGTAGCATTTCACAGAAGAACTTTAAAAATATTGCGCAGCATTCAATTTTTTTTGCAGGCATTTGCCTCCATCCCTCTGCTTTTTAATTCAGCTATCCAGATAAGAAAAACAAACGGTCAGTAATTCATGAAGATCGCTGCAATTAATTTTATAAACCTATAAAGCAGTAACAAAAGTATGTGCATGTAAGAGTTTGACAAGGCCAGTGTCTTTCAGTCCTTACTGGGGACAAGAGAAATTGGGGTTATTTCTGGTTAATATATATTCTAGGTCCTGCGGCTGGGGAATGATTTTATATTTTTCACTCTAGAACCTTGCCCTAAAGCAATTTCCATGTGTATAAAGTAGGAAAAGATGTAGAAAATCTTTCTGGTGATTAATGAGTGGGAGGAAGAGTTTGAGTTCGTCTAAGTAAAAAAATATGACCTGTGGAATGCTGCCAGAAGCAGCAAAACCTCAGGTGGGTTGGTGAGAAAGAGCTGTTTAGGGACCTGAAATTTGCCTGGGGGCAGCATTAACTTACCTAAGCAATTTTCTAAAGATTTCATAGTATGAAATATGGGCAAAGAAAATGTATGCAACTCCATCTTGGAGACTGCTTATCCCCTGTCCTCTCTGAGGTTTCTTTGAAATATTTGCTCTGCTTGACTTCTCCTCCATAAAATGGAAAGTTGGGCAAGATATGTACTTGAGGTGGAAGAGAGGATGTACTGCTTTTGAAATCAGAGAACTGGATAGCAGAGGTGCATGGCTTGCTCAAAAGGACACCAGTGGCTAGTGCTATAAGCGAGAAGAAACACACTTGTTTATGACCATTTGGCACTGCCCTCTTGCTTCACACCAAAATTGGGACTTTGCTTCCCATTGCCTCTTGTCTCCTTCTGGACTCAGCCCTGGCCAACACAAGCAATAATGCAGCACTCTGTAGGCAGTACTCTTGTGTAAACAGCTACTGGGTAACAGGAATGGAAGAGAGCCATTGCTCTCATGTCCGATTTGTGGCTTCCCACAAGCCTCTGGCAGGAAAGGCCTTTAGTCTGATCCAGCATGGTTCTTCTTACCTTCTAATCTGTTAGTAAGTTCAGTGGGACTAACTTCACACCAGAGTGTATAGAGTCACAGCCAACCTAGAAGCTTCTTGCAGCCCAGTTACCCTCCTAAATCACAATCCTCAACAAGAGGTGGAAACAACATGGAGCTATTTAGGGTAAAGAAAGGAAAACAAAGGATTTGGGCTTTTGTTTTGTATTGCAAAACATTATATTCTTAAGTTTACATATACAAATGATTTGGGGATTTTCTGTAAGATATATCCTTTATATCAGCCTGCCCCAACCTGGTACCTTAGAGATGCATTGGGCTTCAGTTCCCATCAACCTGAGTCAGCATAGTCAATAGTTAGGAATGCTGGGAGTTGTATTCCAAAACAACAAACAAACAAAAAATTAAGCCTGTAGCACTATGCCTATTTACTTGGAAGTAAGCCTTGTTGAATTCAATAGGATTTACTTTGGGGTAGACATGTATGGATTGCTCTGTTAGCATATTGCACTAGTTTTTCTTCCTTTTACCAAATTACCAATAAGACATGTCCCTTCCCTTGCAGTTTGTGCATATCAATGTGATTAATTTTTTTAAGTGCCAAAATCTCTCTCTCTCCCTCTTTTAAAGCATTGCCCTTTTCAAAACAAGGGGAAATTCAGTATAGTTTCAGTGCCACAGTGATCAAACAGTGTCACATCACTATGGCAATTGGTGCCCAGGCCAGGAATACAGATCAGCTTTAATTGTGCAACGCCTTATTGCTGGTGCATGTCAATCAGAACCTATGAATTGAGAAAAATTTGCTCTGTTCATTCTGTTAAATGATGTATCCAATTAAACCTGTTAGAATTCATGATCTTCAGTCAAGGTTAAATGAAAGTAGTTACTCCTGTCAGCTAGGTGATTAAATGCTGCCTACATCAGGCACATTTATGTGCAAAATTAAAAATTTGGTATAAAGCATGAATCTTTATGCATGCCAGTTAATTATCTTGCAGTTCCTTCCACTTATTAAATGCCCACTGCATTTCTTCTTAATCATTAGCTTCCTTTCAAAACTTGTTCCATACTGTACATTATACCAAATTTCAATGTCTAAATGAAATGCTGTATAAATGAAAACTTCCTCTTTTCAAGGATTTGGCTGTTGCTACGTTACTGAAAGATAACCGTTATTAACAGCCCCCCCAACCTCATGTCATTATGCAAAAGAACTGTTTGTGTTGTGCTGCAGGATTCTGAGCCACTGTGATAGGAATCCCTTGTGTTATTGCTGCCTGCTGGTCATTTCTGCTTTCTTTAAACCTACCTGGGACTTCTCCTGTTCGCCAGCCAGCACGAAGGTAGTAACATGCAATGCTACGATATAACAATCAACCTAGCAATAATGGAGAAAATGCTCTGTATCCACCTTCTCTGAAAATGGAGCAGATGAAAGCCTTCAAATGCCAGCAGAGTTTTTAATTTGCAGGGGAAGAAAAGAGTAAACCTCTGTTCTGCAAAAAACAATAATAAAATGCCACCATCCCTTCTGTGAAATGGAGTGTTGGTGTAAACTGTTTTGTTGGGATTTTTCAGCAAATCATTGTTCATCAAAAAACCCAGCTGAGGAGGAGGAGGAGGAGGAGGAGGAGGAGGGAAACTTTCTTTCAGTGCAATATGCCTATTTCTGCAATTATGATCCTTGACAATTATATATTCTCACGTTCTTTTAGGACACAGAACTAACAAGCAACCTGTACACGGTGATAACCCCTCACAGTATAATATATAGCATTAACTGCATCTCTTTGGAAGATCCATTACTCTAATGCATTTCTGGTAAGTAGCAAACAGGCATAGAACTATGCAGATACAGCAAAAGACTGCAAATTGCTGCCCATTTGTCGGCGATTTGTCGGACAGAAGAAGCTCCCTTTTCAGATCTGCTGTCAGAGCAGGAAGAAAAGGGAATCTCTAGAGTTAGGAAATGCCTTGGCAGATCTTGCTCAGGGCTCTGGTTCCAACAGTGGCTATTGCAGCTAAGATACTAGATTAACAAACCAACAACAGCAGCAAACTTGTAAACACAGGATGATGAGAACCACTTTAAGTTTGTCTTTTGTATCTGGTAATCTGACTGTTCAGCTTCTGAACATGGAAGTTCTTGTCATTTTTAGTTAACGGGTGTTGTTAGATAGGAATTAAGGACCAGCACATCTGGACTGCTGGATTAGTCTAATCCATGCCTAGGAATCTGAGACCCTTCAGATGGTGCTGAGCGATCATCTCACCACCCTGACCACTGGCCATGGGAACTGGGGTGCAACAACATCTGGAGGACCACAGGTTCTCAACCTCAAGTCTGATTCATTGGAAACAAGTCTCTAACTGTGATGGTCACAGCACTCTGTGGCAAAGATGTACTCGGCACATAAAGAAAATACCTGTGGCTGTTCTCCTAATCTTAAAAAAAAGGGAGCTGCAAGATGGCACGCCGAAAATAAGTTCTTGAGGGGGCAAGCTTGTTGAAGCCAATCAAGTTTGTACCTGGTCATTTTTCTGGTGAGGAGACCTTCAGTACAATGCTTAGTTTGTGGCAAGATTTGTACATGATTGTTCCCTTATATACCCACAGAGCTCTGCCAGTAGGGTGGGTCATAAATGCAATGCAATGTTACAGTAGTGAATTCAGAAGTATGGGAGCACATAATGTCAAGCTTTGTTGCCATATCCCCAAGGAGAATTCTTTGATGCGTTCTTTTTATTTAGTTCCTGTTATTTATTTTCCCTGTTCTCAGCAGGGTTTAGCTTTAATACTCCTTCATGAAACAGAGATGTTTAGGATAAACAGAAAATGGTCATGCAATCTCACAACTGAGTTTATAGGACATAACCTCAATCCTCTGTTTACCAAGAAGAAGTCAGCTCCATTGAACCCAGTTCTGATGGCAGAATACACTGAACAGTAACAAAAACTATTCAGCCAGCTTCAACTGAATTAAAAATCCAGACAAATGGGCAAAGATGTGTTTCCATGTAAACGGTTAACATCAAGTAGCAAACATGAATTTTTAAACATTTGCATACACATGCTGGGAAGCTCTGAAAGAGAGATGCCTTCCTTTCCTGCACATGCACCTAACTCCTTTTATCACAGGGAGGCATCAATACAGGACTGCGCCACTGCTCTGACCTCCCAGATGAGCAGTGGGCATAGGAAGCCCAGGAAAGGGCTTCACTAGCGGTGGCAGGGGAGCAGCTTGGAGCTTGGAACTGCTGGCTGCTGTTTTGGGAATGGAGGGAGGAGGGGATACCAAAAACCATCAGGAAGTTGCACTAGAAACCAGAAGTTCCTCCATCAGCACCATGTGGGAATACAGTAGCTTACTGGTTAGCACACTTGCAGAAATAACTGCTGATTAAAAGCAAACAAATATAAGTAAAGAACCATAAATGAGAGTTATATTAAAGGGAAAAGCAATGTGCATTAGTCACTCACTTCTCTCCCTCCCTCCCTGCCTCTCTTTCTTGCACATGCACACACACAGAATTCCTCAGAAATGATAAAACTGAAAAACAACAGGAAAACATATGTGAGTAAAAGTCCTTGAATTAGAGCTAGCATTCCAGTTGAATGACCAGGCCCATTTCTGTGGGTTATTGGACAAATGCTAGAAAATCAATATCTCTATTCAGAAGCCATCTTTTGGAATTGAGGGGAAAAAACCCGGAACATTTTGAGTTCAAATGTTCATTGTTTCCTAGTATTTCATATTCCTGTTTGAACTTAAATTGTCAAATCATCAATAGAATCAAATGTTCACCTACAGGTGGATTTTATACCTTGTTTTTATAACTAGCCTTGTAACTCTGAAAAAGTCCAAAAGGTTAACAGTATTTCATTATTCCTGATCAGTGAAATAGGATCTAGCTCAGGTTTGCTGTCTCACTACCTGTTGTGAATGAGGTTTTAATCATTTACTAACCACTACGTCAAATCAGAATGAGATTGTGCTATAATATAAAACAAATAAAACAAAATAAAACACCCAACAGCAGTAGCAGCGCACCACTACTATACTGGTCCTAGAAGCATGCCCCGTAAATAGCAGGGAGAAAGGCCACCCACCTCTGCTTCACTCCTACAGTATAATCCCATACAAGTCTGCTCAAAAGTAGCTTTCACTGATTTCAATGGAACTTACTCCCAGCAGATTGTATTCTTTGGATTGCTACCCTAATGACTGGGTGAAGAAGCAGTTTAAGTCAGAAAAGACAGCAGCAATATTGTTTTCCCCACCCCACCCCAAACCTGCTCTCCCAGTGTATTCAGCAGCATGGAAAACAGCAAACAACAATTCAGACTGGAAACCCGCTTATCTCCACGCAATTCCTATAAATGACTTTTTAAAAGTAATACAGAAGCAATGATGCACTGTTTGTGAAGGGACCCTATTTAGGGTGAAGACAATAAGACTTACACGGAGTTTCTTCCTAATAGCATCAAGTTTTTCTGCTGCCATGATTAAGTCTGTGTTGGCCTGAGCCAGGGATTGCCGCTTGAGGTCCACTTCACAATATACCTAAAAGGCAGAGCAGGAAAGGATTTTAAATTGTGCTAGTTAATATGGCTTTTGGAAACATTTTTATGGTGGTGGTCATTGCTGACATGCGTAGGCAGGATAGAAATTTAAAATAGCTGGCTGCCTGTAATGCTTGTGCAGAGAAGGCTTGGCAGTGCTGGAGTGTCAAAAAGCCACTGATGGGCTCACTCAATTCCTTACACTTTGCCCCATGGCTAAACAACTTGGCCAGCAAATCCCCGGTCACTCTGCTTCCCTTCATGCCTTCCCCCTTCCCACCTGATGGCCACTGCACTGGTCACTGCAGCTCACACTGGGACTGCTTGCAGACAGGGGACTCCCAGCCCTTGCAATCAACGGGCATGCTATAATTGTTCCATCTGCCTTGCTTTAACATTGCCAAACGTTTAGGTGTACAGTGCATGTGCAGGCTTGTGAATGGTGAAGCCTGCTGCCATTTATATATATATATATATATAT